TTTCACCCTACAATTTCCCAACGCAGGTACACTGTGTTTCATCCTACAATTACGCAACGCAGGTACACTGTGTTTCACCCTACAATTTCCCAACGCAGGTACACTGTGTTTCACCCTACAATTTCCCAACGCAGGTACACTGTGTTTCATCCTACAATTACGCAACGCAGGTACACTGTGTTTCACCCTACAATTTCCCAACGTAGGTACACTGTGTTTCACCCAACAATTACCCAACGCAGGTACACTGTGTTTCACCCTACAATTTCCCAACGCAGGTACACTGTGTTTCATCCTACAATTACGCAACGCAGGTACACTGTGTTTCACCCTACAATTTCCCAACGTAGGTACACTGTGTTTCACCCAACAATTACCCAACGCAGGTACACTGTGTTTCACCCTACAATTTCCCAACGCAGGTACACTGTGTTTCATCCTACAATTACGCAACGCAGGTACACTGTGTTTCACCCTACAATTTCCCAACGTAGGTACACTGTGTTTCACCCAACAATTACCCAACGCAGGTACACTGTGTTTCACCCTACACTTACCCAACGCAGGTACACTGTGTTTCACCCTACACTTACCCAACGCAGGTACACGCTATTTCTGGCACTAGCTACTACAGAAGACATGGCCAGGTATTGAGTCTCTTCATTAGTCATGTTCGGCTGTTGAAGAGGTATGTCTCATTTTTCATTATATTTTATTAACTGATTAAATTATAAACCGTAATTAAACTAGTTATTTTAGCAAAGCTAGTAAAAGTTCCACAAAGAATTTAAAATACAATAAAAACCCCAAGCAAATTCATTACCTATATCGTCGATGAGAGCGTTTTGTAGACCAGCTATATCGTTTCAAAACATTTTAAAGAATGAAAGTACAATCAGTAATGGGAATCAAGATATGTATGCACCAAAGAGATTTAAACCTAAGTAAAGAAAAAACGACAAACAAAACAAGAAAAAACTATCTGTTTTTAATTTCAGGAGAATAAGATCTGTACGCGTTATTAAAACATGTTTTCCTCTTGAAAATGTGCATCGATTCCAAAATCCTTAAATCTGAACCACCACCGGTGGCAGTAGTTATATTACTATATATAATATATAATTATATTACTTATTATATTACTCATATAATTATATTACTTACTACTTATATAATTATATTAGACACATTAGCGTCGCACTTCTCAGCGTGGCGCCCTGAGCAGCGATGTGGCTATGCCTGAGGTTTTTGTTTCGTTTGTCGTTTTCTCGTTAGTTGGTTTTAATATTTTTTTTCGATCATATTTTGATATTCACTACTGATTGAGCTTTTATTCCTTACATCTTCTGGAGCTTGTGATGGAGAAAACGTTTTCATTTTAGACCTAAAGAATTTGCTTTTAAATTCTTAGTGAATTTGCTATTTAATTTAAGCACACACATGATATAACGTGTACGTGTATATAAGTTGAAAATTTTATAAATTATATACTATTCAAAAAGCTTGGGTATTCAAGAAATATAATTTTGCTCTGAAGTTTCGAAAATTTCTGTTTTTCAACAGGTTGTGCTCGCTTACCCTGCATTCGAAGAAAACCTGAGTGAATTTGAAAAACTCATTCGATACCGCGAGGCTAAAATAAAACAATTATGGGATGGAAACGTGAGTAGAGAAAGGAATTATCGAAAAATATTCTGATATTATTAAAACATAGTAGTCGGACTGATGTTCATTTTTATAATAAATTTAAAATTTCATGCTGATTCAACGGATTATGCAAACAGATAGTTAAGGAAGCTCTGTTTAGAAAATTCTGTTGTTTAGCGTTAGGGAAACGATTTATAATTTATAATAAACTGAATGATCCTGCTTTCCCTATCCCTGGCCAGTACAAACTGGAGACTGAGCAAGTGCAGTGTTTGCCCCTGGCTAACATCGTCTACGCATCAACAACAATCGCTGACAAAATCGACTTGCTTGTCCTGGATATGGCAGGATCTGATCTAGAACTCCTGATGAGCACCAACCTCGACTGGATCCCTGAGCTAGATGTAGGTGTTTCGCTCACATGAAGCGTTATTTATTTCCACTAGGAATTAATTTAACAAGATGCGATGACAATTTATTGATGTTTTGACGAGAAACGATTGATCATGGTGAAGATGACCAATAGGAGTATTACTTAAAACCATGTAGGTATCCATGATCACATATTACTGGGAACGATAAACAAATCCTAGAATTTATTCAACTCAAAATATTTATTACTCCAATGTTCATCAGATTATGTAACAAAACAACTTGCGTAGATGAATAAAGTTATCTGCTATGAGAGTAATTTTGCCACTCCCGTAGCTTCTCAACAGATGGTATTGACGGCGTTGCGTTATAGTCCCGTTCTGAAAACCCATTCATCTTTTAAAGAGTTTTGATAAGTATTTGGTGCTCACATTTGTACATTACTTATAAAATTTTCGTTCTAAATTGTCTCCCAGATGGTTCTGATAGTGGCGCATGGAGCGGAGGTGGCCTCAGACGTGGGCGGATTTTTCATGGAGAAGGATATGGTGGTGTCGAAGGTGTTTGGCGCCTCTGCGCAAGAAGCTCGTTTCATAGTCACCAAATTTGAAGCTGATCTATCCTTGGTTGACTAGATTTTTATAACGGAGCATCATGATCCGGCTTGATTGTTGGGCTTATCTCCGTTTTGACATCTTTTAGGAATGAAAGGACGTTAAATTATACTTTGTAAGCTACTCATACATGATACAGACAGACACCTTTAGGCAAAAGAAAGTTCAAATGGTGCGTTTTTGGTTTGAACGTGTACTAAGCAAGGAAACCGCACTATTAATATATAATTAATTTTGCGTGGAGATTACAAATGCATTGACTTCTCCTGTTTGTAAGGCAGTCGGAGGTTCTGATAATCATTTACTACAGCAGCTTAAGTTATTTTCACTAGATGCTGAGGATTCAATCTCGGTAGGACCGTAGGACCAAAATTCAATTTAAATGCATACTCAAGTGATTATCTATTAAGGCAGAAATTCTACGGGCGTTACTCAATAACGTTTTTATTAAGAATTCCTTTAAATGTGGTTCTGATTTTCTTTTTTAATTCCTCCATACGACTTGCTATCAGATTAAACGAAGTAGGACGACTTGGCTAATAACAGCTGTTCTAATAACTATACAGCCTAGTATACAGTGTTAGAAATATTGTACCAAATAAATGGCGATAATCTATGATCCATAATCTATAAATCATCAATAACGATAAAAGAGTCCTAAAAGTTCATATAGTGAAAATCTCAAAAATATTTCATTTAATTGTGAAATTCACGCGACTTAATTAGGTCGCCTGCCGAAGACCACCACTGCCCTGGATGTAATGGACCATCATGATTCCTGCCTTCCGGAACGTAGCCTTCAACACTTCAAGCCGTCCGTATCTAGGCCGTGGGTCGAACCAGCCCTCGGTCGAACGGCCACTGGTCGAAAGACGATAAATTTTGGAACAGAACTATGCTATCTGAAACCTAACCTTAGATGCTGTGAACGTAAAATTACGTAATTTAACGATGCCTGGAAGTCATATTCGATCCGCGGCCTGGTGGTGCACGGCAGGTTCTATGCAAGGCCGGAGGAGGACAAAGCCGAGTGGTTCACGGCTTATTGGTGGATGTCCGGAGAGATCCAAGGCGTTCGATTCAGGGCTTGTTGGTGCACAAAATTGGTGGTGCACGGCTGCGCTCCCCTTAATTCCATCCAAATTTTTTACCCAAATTGGAAGAAGCTAGCCTGCAGTGTTCGTTCCAATTTTTCTTTCGGCTGATACAAAGAAAAGGGGGCTAAATCAGATATATGTAATAACGTCACACATGATGACGCAAAAGTATTTTCTCTGGTCGTCCTCAGTAGAATCATTAATTAATTCTAAATGCTCATCATGATGTAAGTTCTTTAAGTATTATTCGATGTTAATATCTGAACGTTTCATTTATCCCCTTGTAATATACCCCTATTGTGCTCGTCATGTCCGTCCAGTCCGTCCGCCCGTCCGTCTGTCAATCCGTGAGTTCACGTTTTCGTCGACGATAAAATGCGCTCTCTGTCACTCACTGCAGACTGCAGTGAGTACTGAGTTATATTTTTCTGCTCATGCTAGGGATTATCCTGGATACAAGGCAATCTACTTCTACTGTACTGTCATCATGGGTCGCGAATTGCGATTGACATTTGACAGACAATCCATCTACAGTCGCACGTTTGGTACTCTGGTATACACATACCGTCAGCGTCTGTCAATGTCATCACATTCGCAACTCACTATATCCAAAAATATTGTAAGTTATGTCATTTTACTGAGGAACTGAGCGCGTTTGAAACGTGTATTGCCATTTGTCGATCATACGAGTTTCCAAAGAAAGTCTCTCCGTAGTGCGTAGTCTGTTCTCCAGTCTCCGTAGTCCGTACTGACTGTAGCGGATAGACGGTATTTGATAACACCTGAATAATGAGGGAGCAGAGGTGCTTATACCTTGGACGAAAGTTGGGGCAATGGGTGCAGGCAAGCTTTTTTTTTATTGTTAGTTGGGGACTTGGGGTTAAGACTTGTGGCGACAAAAGCACCCACCAGCCTGATCTCTGCCAGAATTCTGGCAAGCTGTGTGGTCTTGAGAGAGTGACAAAATCAAAATGTGGGAGTGAAATCGTGAGTGTGGTTCCTGGTTGTGGATAGTGGTTACTGGTTAGTAGGCAGGCCTAACCAAATTGATGTGAGTGGGTCAAATTAATGTGAAAGGGTTAGTAGTAGACTAGGTAGTAGGAAAATATAAAGATATATGCAATGCAAGGAAGAAGGAACTTGAAGAACAACATATGGATGTGCCAGCCTGCCAGGTCACTGTCTGTTGTGGCTATTTAGTCTATTAGGCTACACCGCTACAGACTTACAGAGTTAATCATTTACAGAAAGTCAGAAACATCTGAGGGACTGAGAGGTGGTGTACCTTGTATGTTTTGTTTGAGAAGTGGAAAATATGATTTAGGTATTGTACAAGGGAAGAAGTAAACAACAAACTAAAAGTGGGGGAGTTGGCATTATTAGCTATCCGGAGTTAGGTGGGTTTAGAGATTGAAGAAATAAATGTTAGCAAGTTAAATAAATGTTAGCAATTGGCCAAGTGCAAGAGTAAAATGAGCAAGGACATTTTGGCTGTGAAGATTGAGTATGCTACATTTTGCAGCTACAACGACAAAAAAAAAAGGATGCAAAATGCAAATGGTGATTATTGTTTGTTATATGACTGTGGTCTGTGGAGCATAGTGGCAAAGCAGAGAGTTTTTTAGACTCTCCCTCAAGTTTATTTGCAAGTCCTATCAGTAGACCAGTAAAGTATCCTGGATACCAGTAGTGTCATAGGCTACATAAGGAATTGACATAAATCTTGGGTAAATGAGGAAATTAAAAATGAACTGATTCTAAAAAAGCTCTGGTTTGCCACTATCATGGCACTATGCAGTGTGGAGTGTGGACTGTGGAGCGACTGGAGCCTAGGGAGTAAGGTCAGAGACTCAGCGTGAGAACAGAGAAAAGTATGCATGTATAAAGAAAGTGCTTGATAAATATAATCATGAGATGATAGTAGCTAGTTATGGTGGGGGTCCTGGGGGACAGTGTGAAATTGTAAAGGAATATTAAATTAACCCATTAATGCCAAATTGCCAACTTGCCAAGCAGTTCCATTGGGAACCTGCAGGAAAAACTGGATTCATAATAAAATTATATGGTCAAATCAGTTATTATCAGTATACGCCTTGATTTACTATTGGAAAAAGTGTTGTTTGAAGAAGCTTATGTTAATGCCAAGCAGTTCCATATGGAACTAAGCCATAATTTTTCACATACCGTGAAAAATAAATATATGAACATATTTTTTGTTTATTACCATCACAAACTATAATATTCTCACAAGAAACCAAAAAAGTTCAGAAAATCATTCTTGGCATTAATGGGTTAACCAGTACACATAGCATATTGGAAAGCAGGATCAAAAGCTTGTAAAGGTCAGGAACTAGGTATTCACTTTCAGTCCATTGTATACATATCCTATCACTTTCCATCTGTGATTGGTTGATGCCTTGATGGGATTGTGATTTTAGCCCCTTTGAGCTCTTTAGCTGTGATTGGTTAATGAGGATGCTTTCAAGCTGTGATTGGTTGTGCCCATAACCATAAGCCCTGCCCCCAAATATGGTATATCACGTATATGTACTAGCAGTACTACAGTACTGGTTAACTAAATTCTCAACTTGAACTTGATCATTACAAACAAAAAGCCCGGAAAATTTTCAAAAAATCCATTATATGAAAGAAAAATGAAAAATATGTATCAAACAAGAGATAACAAACTTATATGACAAATGTCCAAAACTAATGTGCGATAAATGGGACCTAGCAATAAACGACAAAGGAACATATTTAAATTGAAAGTATTCTCCCTCCCCTTTACCATCTCCTGTTTTTTATTTCATCAACCTATTATTTGCATCTAATGCTTCCACAAACCATCTCTGCACTCTAAATCTTGTCCCAATATCTTGAATCCTGTATCTGTCTCCTCTTTTTCCCCCCTCCTTATGCCAAAAATTAATTTTGAAATGCATGTGTGATGTGTGGCAGCTAGCTGATACAATGGCCTGACGTCTGAAGATTCTTTTTTGGTGTCAGCACGCTCTAAATCCTAGTGATGGACTAACAATACTGTAGGTCTGTAGTCTGTAGTTAGTGCCTGCCACCTGACCTGTGCAACTTTGCTGAGTCTGCTGGGAGTGAGAGGTGGTGTATAATAGTCTATAGATAATTCTACCGCTTCTCTGCCCTCAAAATGGCAGGAAGAAAGTTTCTTAGTCTCAGAGAAGTACAGGAATTAATCACGGCAGGGTTGGCATTGGCCATACTACAGATGTGGCCAATGCCCAATGATCAACACTGAGGCACTGACACGCACTTTACAATTGGTGTAGTCGATGCCTGATGATCAACACAGATGCCTGCATTTTACAATCAATGCGGCCGATGCCTGATAATCAAATCTGACACTCGCACTTTGCAATAGATGTGGTCAATGCCTGATGATCAACACAGATGCATGTGCTTAACAGTTGATATGGCCAATTCCCGATGATGAACACTGACACATGCTTTACAATCTATGTGGCTGCATAACACACAACACATAGCAACACCACACATTATAAAATTAACAGAATATGTTGTTACAAAACATGAAACCACACATAACACTAAACACAACATAAACATATAACCAAGCACATAATAATACATCCTAACACAACCCAACACATTGTTACACTACATAACAGAAATCATCATGATATAATACTGTGGTCAAATGGCATAATAAGGGACAGGAGGGGTATATCAGGACTGTCCTCTGTCATGGCAAAAAAATAGTGGCATAAACTTAACATTTTCTCATCTAACGGTATGTAGTATAAAAAAGAAAATTTATGAAATCATAGATTTACTAGCTCTGAAAGATCCATGAAAAATGTTTAAAAATATAACTCAGTACTCACTGCAGTGAGTGACAGAGAGCGCATTTTCTCATCGACAAAAACTTGATCACGGACAGATAGACAGACAGACATGGTGGGCACAATAGTGCATTTTTTCCATAAATGAGAAAAGATGCTAAAAAGTCATATTCTGAAAAAGTACCTACTTCTGCTAAGGTCTGTAGTAAATTTGATTGTATTGCTAAGGTCTGTACCATTGAAAAATTTTGCTAGAAAAAATTTGCAGACAGGTGTTGGCATTAAAACTTAATTGACAAAATTTGCATACCTTAATCAAAAACAAAATGGCAGACATTTCTGCAAGACAGGGTATTAAGGGGGACCGGCTACCCTAAAACCGAGGTAGCCTATAACTCCTACAGTTATTATCCGATCATCATGAAACTTCACATACATACGTAAAATGTAAAAATAATAACATTTTACTTCTATAAATTTTTCGAAAAAATTGATAGAAAACGTGATATTCATAGAAAACGGAGAAATAACAGGTACTATAGAAAATCTATCTTCTCCCACAAATATCGTCCTACAATATCGAGACACATATCATTAGATTCGTAAAGACCATACCTATCAACTCTGCCATCCCTTTTTTTCATTTTCCCCATAGTTTTTTTTTTATGCGCGTTTTTCCCATTTTTTCACTTTTTCACCCCCTTCCCCCCTTCTCCCCCATATATAAGATGAACCATGCACAAATTCAAAAAACGCGATGGCTAGGTCGATAGATATTTTATTTACAAATCGAATGATATGTGTCTCATTGCTGTAGCTTGAAAACTATAGGAGGAGATAGGTTTGCAGTGTGACTAATCGTAGGTTTTCACGGCGCCCAAAAAACTGGCGGGCAGCACATAAAATGACTTAAAAGAGTTTTAACATAGCAACATACCAAAACTAAGCCTTAAAAGTAAGTGAGGAAGGTGTAGAGCAAGTGGCTGCACACCTTCCACCTCGCTGTCATGATAGGCACTGAAAGATTGCGTTGCATCCCACAGTATATGGAGTCACGCCTCCTATTTATTGCCTTAGCAATTAGTGAAGGCCGCCCCCCACCACCCACTTTCCATGGGGCGTGGTGAACATAAAAATGGAGGTAGAGAGATGATTCAGCTACCAATAGAATTATCTGAAAGTAAGCTTTAAGATGAGTATAAGCACCGGATAATGCCATGATTGGCCGCCTTACGTCAGGCGTTCCTTTTTAGTTTGTCCAGCCCTGTAATTAAATCCCATAGACATTTGTTAAAGGGCCTAAAAACTGCCCTTCTTTGGGAAGCTGTCATGAAATCATTTTTCAACGTACAGGGATGATTCTGGTACCGTTGAAGGTTGAATGCGTCAAAAAGTAAGCTTTAAGATGAGCACAAAAACCGGAAAACGCCAGAAGTGAAAATTTTAGGGTAGCCGGTCCCCTTAAGGGATACCCTCCCCTATAGGGGTTGTCACTAAAATATTTGGTTGTCACTGGAATATGGTTGTTGTCATGATGGTTATCACTAAACTATTCCTTTTTGTTTTCAGAAATGTTTTTTACTATCTTTTTTGTTATAGGTAGTGAATTAATTCACTTAACCCAATTAAAATGGTGCAAAATTACAAGCCCAGTCCCAAAAGCTTATGGAGGAAATGCTATAGGTACAGCTGCTGATATGAAGCTTGCAGTGGACAAGGTCGTTGTCAATGGCATAGAAGTTTTTTTGCAAGGTTTTAAAATTGTTTGGTATAGAATGGAAAAAATAGTTTGTTAATGGAAAATAGATATGGTGATATCATCAATAAAGGAAAAACAAATACAAATCATGGAAAATGTAATTTATTCTGCATCTACATCATCTACAATGAAAGAGGAGGACTTCAGAGTACTGTTAATAATGGATGAGTACACTCTGCATGCTCCAAACATTTCAAAATTGAGTTTTATTTCAAGTGTCCCAGATTACCCTGTTCCCAGGGGTAATTCGGGACATTTTTATTTCCATCTGGCACCTTACAAATAGCATATGGACTTTTTTAAAAGATGCCATTTGATAGCCCTCGCAATGAGCTATAAAATGAGCCTAAACTTGTTTATGAAATGTTTCATGGTAAAAAGTTATTAACAAAAAACATTCAAAACCATCCCTTATTACCCCATTTGATAGTAGTTCTCACAAAGACCTTTTAACTGAGCCTACACTTGTTAATGAAATGTTTCATGGTAAGAAGTCATCAACAAAAACTAGAAAAGTATCTGTTATTACCCCATTTGACAGCAATTCTATGTAGTCATCTCTTGACTGTATTATCTGAAGCTGGTTTTGGCATTATTCAATGATAGATTCAGTTTCTGGTTTCAGGATGGCTGAAATTGTTTCATCATTGCACTACTTTCAGGTTCTGATTTGTCTATTTGACTGCATGCTTGTAAGGAGCAATCAAGCTGCTTGATACTTGGACCACCAGAATATCACATTAATAGATTGAAAACAGTAGCTATATATAATCAATTCAAGAACTTGATCCTGCATGCTAAACTAATAAGTGACTTCTGCAGCTGCTATTGCTGTAAGGTACTGACTTCTGGGCCTGTGTTGCTGGCAGTGGTACCAACACACATCAACTGGAGTCTGTCTTTAAGTTGCCCGTCATCAATGAGGTGGTAAACAGCAGTTGCTTGCACTCACTTGTTCTGTCAATACCATGCATCCCAGTGTACCATCATTGGCCCTGTTGGAAACTGCAAATCATATGTTTGTTCTATTTTTCTGACATTATTGGCAGCTTGAATGATTAGATGACTCACCTACTTCTTATCCTCTAAAGATTTTAAACAGGCAAGCCAAAATTGGAATGGTTATTTTAAATTGATTTATCCTTAATTAGTTGATTTTAGGTTTTAATTTGTTCCTGTGAATTTTTTATTATTAATAAATTGTATTTAATTCTTAGGCATATTAAATATGATTGCATATGATTAATTGAACATCAAGTGCTGAAATGGCAGGGCAGAGCTTAGCTGCTCTTTCTTATGCCCTGGATACCAACACTGAAGATAACCTCCTGGCAATCAGGCGGCCCCTTACTTATGTGTCTTTGTGCTTGTATGGCCTTCTCTTCACTTACATTTATGCACAGCTATGGATGGTCATGCACTACAGCTACAAGCGATGGTAAGAAAATTCTGGTCAAAGTTGTTAAATAGAACAGCCAATTTTGGCTGTTTTAGGAAATTATTAACTAATTTTCTCAACTTTCACCTATTTCAGTCCTGCAATTGAAAAATGTATTTAAAAATTTACCTAATCATCAGATGATCTTTGAATTACTTGCGCTCCTTGTCTGTATCTTCTATAATTTGTGTATAAAACTATTTTACGCAATACATTACGTGGAAATTAGTCACCTGAAAATTGATCGGACAAAATTTGATTAACTTTATTAGCCAGTATATCTACATTTGTAATGCATTTATTCTAATGATAATAATTTATTTAAAAGTCTTTCAATGTTAAATGTGTTTCATTTCAAATTCTCAGTCAGTTATAGGTGCACCAAGGATGTATCATTCATTTATTTTATTCTTTTTGTTGTTATTACAAAGCTGTTTATTGTGTCTGAGAATAATGTTTTGGAATAAAAAGTAATTAATATATTTTGTATGGTATTGACTGATGTTTAGGTTACTAGCTATACTTATCCAGATAATAAAAAATCTATTACAAAATAAATAAATGTAGACACTAGAGAGAATTTCAATTCTTTGGAAGGACTTGATTTTAAAGATAGATTAACCTAAATTAGGTTGCAGCTGTTTTATCACTCCTGATTATTGTTGTCCGTTTCAGGTGCTACCGAACATATGTTCTCTATGCTTCAATAGCGTGGTGCATATTGCGGATCACGCTATTCTCTTATTATGCTATGCTGGAGCATGAAGAATCAAAAAGTGAGTATTTATATGTGCTCAAGACTGCTATTAGGAGAGTATTCTGGTTGAGTTTCCCATCCATGAATTTATTTGTGAGAACTTGATTTTTATTCATGCTATTTTATTCGTGCTGTTTTTATTCATGCTATTTTTATTCATGCTATTTTTATTCATGCTATTTTTATTCATGCTATTTTTATTCATGCTATTTTTATTCATGCTTTTTTTTTACACTGTTGCTGGGGCACATGTCTCATTATGAGGGCAAGGTAACTGTGTTACCTACTTCACGTTTGGTTTGGCAACAACACTTCTATCTAGTCAAGACAGAAGACTGATATTTTACATGGTAAATTGTATAAAAATACAGTGCAAAGAGTGAAATAAAAGTGAAATGTTCAAGTGTCAAGTATAATGTGGAGCAGTGCATTATGTGTTTAAGCTAATTTATTTTTCTGGAGTTGAGTTTAGGGATAGGGAGCTTGGACAGGGTTACCAGTTATTGCATCATTAGTGAACTGCAAAACAAATAAAAAAATAATAACCTGTCTGGCTAGATAACAATCATATTTCTAGAGGGAAATTTGGTATTAAGGCTGATGCAATAAAACACTCTGCTAGATTATTGAATGATAACAAGCTTGTTGCGTGCAGCAAGCAAGAAATGGGAAAACCAAAACAGACAAAATGTACTATTTGGAATGAAATTAGTAAGACTTTGCAAAGAGAAAGCTAACATAAGAACTGAAGTAATCAATTGGAGTAATTTGTAAAAGTTGTAAAGTTTTAAGATAAATACCATAAGCAAGGCATTCAAAAATAACTTGCAAGCAGATGACCGTATAATTAAGAATGGCAAAAACCTTGAATGTGAAAAACCAGGGTGTACCAGTTGAAAAACCAGGGTGTAAATTATTGTATTTGCCTCATGGCAACAGCACAATTCTTAATTGGTACACTTTTGCCTTTGTATTATTGTTCTATCATTGTTTAGATTTGCTGCATGGCAATATGAGAATAAGCATGTAATTTATTGCTGTTCTTCTCCTTTGATGTTATTAAAGTGAAATATTTCAAAAATCATTACATATACAAGCTATATACAAACACTGGTACCACATCTTAGTATGGCAATTACTTAGAAGATCAACAGAATAGTTCATGTTAAGAGTAAAGGAAACAATCGGGTCTTCATAAATAATCTACATGACAAAAACTATATAGATCAGCTCTGTCCAATGTTTCCCATATTCTATTCATTTCCTCAAAATTCAAATTTTTTTGTTTCAAGTTTTAGCAAGCTAAGAAAACTTGGGAAATCAAATAATACAAAGAATTCTGTCTTTTCCATTATATTTTCCACTTAGGATTATAAAATTCATTGTTACATGGGATAAGCCAGTAAGCTGTAGTTCAATGATGTTTAATTTGCCACTTACTTTCCCTTAAAAACATCCATATATTTTCATGTATATATACTGTTTGTATACTAGTACATCATAATGTAACATAATGAACTAGTGTACAATGGCGATAAGGCGTTTGAAAAAAAAAAATTATTATCTTTAATGTCATACTTATGTATATAACAATGTTGTAGATGCTTAATTTTTACTTGTGGTTGACAGGGAAATACTGCTGTTTATTTAACTAGGTATTATTTCATTATAATTACTCATTTGGTCCAGGCTTGTTCTGTGGAAATTTTGTACCAAGAACCACCATGAACATTTCCTACATCCCCAATATATTTTACTTGTTCCTAACAATGGTGAGCCCAAAATTGGTGCTGAGATGATGTCTTTATTTTAGTTACAGATACCACATATTTATGAATGTCTGTGGATCCTAACTCCAAGACTTTTTAATGGAATTGTCCAGTAACACTAATGCATTGAAGGAATTTTAATCTATCTCTTTTCATTCAGACTTATTAGAAAGCAGCCTTACCATGACTCCCCAGATGCAATGACCTCTTATTCTCCAGAATGGTTTAATCACTGTAATAATCAATTACTATAATTGTGCAGGTTTGGGAGGCAACTCTGAGCCAAGGGTTCTGAGCCGTCGTGTGGGCTTCTTGAGCTATTTTCTGCTCTATTCCTTGCCCTTGTACCTGCAGTTCACGTGCCTCTGCCTCATGGTTGCCTACTTCTATCAGGTGCTGTGCTTGCAAACCATTTTTTTTCATTGTTCATGTTTCATTGGTGAGATAAATTATCAAGGATTATTTGTCTTGATTGATAAGTAGATAAAAGCTTCTAATATTGACATTAAATCTGGTCTCTAGTATTAGTTGATCATATTTAGTACTTGTCATTTCATGCTTGAAATAATTTCTGTAGGGGTTTATTTGTTTCTATTTGGAATTTCTCTTTGAAAAAATCAATCTCATACTACTAGTAGGAAACTAAAGTAATAAAACTACAATTTTATTTATTTCTTTTACTCCACTATTTGTTGCATAAATTTGTAAAAATGCTAATTTTAAGATGGGAGGCTGCTAAATCTAAGTCAGTTAAGAATGTTTTCCTTGGGTTCTTAAATAGCTAATTAGGAAACCAAATATAGGTACGTAAATCAAAAATAGCCCAAACTAGTTTTTCATGACTGTGGATTTCCATTGTATTATTTACCTTGTATGTATTTCCCTATTTTAAAAACTGAGTGCAAAATTTGTTGTTTGTATATCATGAATTTATTTTCACTTTCTTATAGATTCATCGCAGTTCACACCAGAACTTTCATCCCCGGGAAATGAAGTAAGAAGCTATATATTTGCAGCATATTGTTCACCTTAGATTATTTAGACACCAAAAATTTCCTTAAAGATTCAAGAGTTTCCATAAATTTGCTTGCAGTTTATCATATTGTTACTAATATTTGATATGTCTGACAATTTGATAACGATAAAAACTAATGAGAAATTCAAACTTGGCTGTAAAAATTATTTACAGTGAATGGTGGTGGCCTTCATATGTGCTGCTGGCGCTAAACATATTCGTGTTGTGCCTGAATTTCGGCAGCTCTGCCGTCATTAAATGGCAAGAAGATTCTGAGCAACAGCGTAAGTGACTCTTCATTTATTCCTTTCATCTATATGTGAGCCAGAGTAATCCATATTTATGAACTGGGTGACTAAACAGCGACTTGGCAATTCTTGAATAGTTTCTAGAATTACCCTGTTTAAAGAGTCAAATATTGACACTAGTTTTTCTTTCAAGACTTAAATCAATAGACTGCCCCTCAAGGCCCCCTCTGCTGCCGATTTCAGGGTGTGGCCGTAAAAGTCGTATATGAACCATGTATCAGGAATGTCCTGATGACTTTGAGCCCTCAATAGTACCTCTGAAGAGCGCCTCCTTGTACCATTTTAGGTTAATTGTAACTCAATACGCGATTTTGTTCACCAAAATTTGTCTTCCTATTTTTCATGTTGTGCAACCTATTAAAATTCCTACGTAAACTCGCAATTGATAGATTATATTTCAGGAAATAATAATGTTGGAATTAAAAAAAAATTACTTGTTATTGTTCTACTAATTTACAAAGTAGCGATGAATTAAAAACATTGAAATGCTTACTGTGTTCAGCAAGCCCAGCTGGGCTGCCCCTACTGACGGTGTACGTAGTGCACCTGCGCGTGCTGCTCAACGGCGCGGCGTTCATGCTGGTGGCGAGCGCCCTGGCTTACGTCACCGTCAAGGTCGCCAACACCGCTGAAGCCAGACTGCTGCTCGAGACTGAGGTGCGGTCGTTGATTGACACATATGATTTCAACCCTAAGCTTAGAAAGATTTCTGCTCAGGTTGTAAACACTGTTCATTGTTAAACCTAATTTAAAATGATCTATTGATATTATTATAAGTGCTCTAGATGATTAATATCAATAGGTTTATTTTATTTTATTGAAGAAGTTTTGTGCAGTTTATCGAAGTTTATTTCTGCTGATTGTGTGCAGAACTTGACGCAATTTGGAGCGGTGCTGGTGTGCGTGTTGCTCGTGTTCCTCTTCTTGTGCCGCACCGTGATCAACGTGCTCGCTCTCGTGCCAACCGTCAATTTCGTGCTCGATACTGACCAGGTCTCAGCCATTATTTCTGGATAAATGACACTTACAATTGTGTGTGGCAGACACTTATAAAGGTGTCATATATAAAATTCGATTTTGAAATTATGTCACTGGATTCAAATTTTGCAGTTGCTGCAAATGTCTTCTATATTAGTTGCAAAGCTCTTGAAGTAGAGGCAGATACTTATTCAGGTAATGGTAAAAATTTAAACCATTATAACCATTGTATTCAGCTACCAGTTTGTGACTCAGGTTGACCTGCTGAGCGACAGTCGCAGTGCATACTTCATGCTGGTGACTGTGTTATTCCTGTGGGAGTTCGTGCCGACGCTGCTCATGGTGATCTTCTTCAGGGTGAAGGCCCCCTCGCAGCAGCAATCTCCCGCTTGGGGACAAGGGACCAATGGCGCACCGGTTCGTTAATTGCATATCATATCTTATATTCCTTTTAAAATATGCTATTTTATGCTGACTTGAATCATGTTGCGACGCTTAGAAATGTATAGTAGAGCGTGCATGTCCAGTATACACAACTTTGAACTGGCTTGTTAACAATATTTGTTTACAATTCCGTCAGATTAATTGACGTGGATTGCATAAAAATAAAATAGCCGCACACGCAATGCAGTCTTGTTTTATTCTTTACTGCAGTTCAGGATTATGTCAACTGTTCAAAAGCAGAGAAAATGCCAAGTAAATTCGACGTATAGTCTCATATAAAACGTTTCCGTGACCAGCACCAAGACGAGTTTTAAAAACATCTTCAAGTATTTAGCTGGTAATCGAGATGATCTCCAAACAATTTTCAATGAAAGTATACTTCATTTACTCCGTTTTTGTTTGCTTTTAAATTCTTGATGTGTGTTTTGTTGCAGCTACTGTCGGAGACTTTATCGGACCCATCCAGCGACGACGATCTCTCGCACAACTTCTCGTTCCTGCACGCTGCGTCGGCTCCTCGTAACTTCTCACCGCCTCTGCCCGCATCGTCCCATAATAGCGCCTCCCTGGACGACATCACAGGGTCGTCCTCGGCAGAAACAGAAGAGCCAGGCAACATCCATCCATTATCAACCCGCTTTTGTCATAGGACTTCTCTTTTCAGCTACAGAATTCTGAACAGAGCCAATGTTAGACCCGACTACATGTAGCGTATTGAGGCGGTATCGAGCCTCGCTACATGTAGCGCATTGAGGCGGTGGCGGGCCTGGCTACATGTAGCGTATTGAGGCGGTGGCGGGCCTGGCTACATGTAGCGCATTGAGGCGGTGGCGGGCCTGACTACATGTAGCATATTGAGGCGGTGGCGGGCCTGGCTACATGTAGCGCATTGAGACGGTGGCGGGCCTGGCTACATGTAGCGTATTGAGACGGTGGCGGGCCTGGCTACATGTAGCGCATTGAGACGGTGGCGGGCCTGGCTACATGTAGCGTATTGAGACGGTGGCGGGCCTGGCNGCCTGGCTACATGTAGCGCATTGAGACGGTGGCGGGCCTGGCTACATGTGGCGTATTGAGACGGTGGCGGGCCTGGCTACATGTAGCGCATTGAGACGGTGGCGGGCCTGGCTACATGTGGCGTATTGAGACGGTGGCGGGCCTGATTACATGTGGCTTAATGAGGTGGTGGCGGGCTGTGTTAAGATGGAAGCGCTGCATAGGCGATTGGCACTTCTTAATTTTTTATCAATAATTCCGGTACACCAAAATGTGTTTGGATTTAACTCGAGACCTGAAAAATTTATGTTCATAGCTGGGTACATCCGCATTTGTAATTTCTGCCATTATTGATTGCCCTACTTAATTATTGATAGAATACATTGTAGATTTTGCGTAGTCTCAGCTGCTAACCGGTCATTTTTATCCTCAGTAACCAGGGAGAAATTCCTAATCGAAGATTTTTCCCTAATTTCACCTGAGTCAATGAGGACAATCGTGCCATCTTTATCTTTACTTGCTGAGTTAAGTTGAATCTCTGTGATTGCCAGTCACTTCAGTATTTTTGTGTTGTTTCTCTTGTCTATTGCAAGAGCAGAATAGAATATGTATGGTTTTCTTCAATTGTTCTCTTAGTGTGTTCTTTTTGTCGATGAGTTTACATAATGATGAGTTTGCGCGTCTCTCACCGCGATGGGCTTCAATTGTTGTGACTATTGTGGATTGATCCTGGTGGGATGTTGGCGACACGAATGTTGCAATTTCATGTGACTTAATTATGTTCTTCATCACTTTGCATTATAAGTTGTGTGCAATTCAACTGAGGGTCTGGTCTCAACATTGAAGTCAGTTTCACTCATTTTTTAAATCTTTTTATCAATAATATGGGAAACATTTGATTATTGCTTTAGTAAGCGTTTAGTTTCGGAATTTGTTTTTCTACTTCTAAACCGTTAAAAAAACTTGTTCACTTTAGAGGGAAAGCTCGAAATTTTCGTTGCAGATGCAAATAATGGTCGGGCATAACTTTTCTAGCTATAATATACAGTGAACGCAGTTAAAATGCAAGTGTCTTTATATTGGGGTTCTGTTGAAGTCATTCCAGTGGACCGGATCCCTTAGTCTCGGATGAGGATAACCATATTTCGGAGCCAAAGAGTCATAGTTAGGCAGTTATTTCTCGTCAACATAGTATAAATGTTTGCTTTAGTGTAGTTTAGATTTTTGCGAGTTGCGTTCCTGATTTACTGCCTAATTTATTCAGGAGATGGCCGACGTGCATGCTTATTGTGCTCACAAAGAGTTTTCTCGCCAGTCTGAAGTTGTTCATGGCAGCCTCATCATCGTCCCTTGGACGATCTATGACATAGATCTTGGTACCAAACTGCGGGTCTCAGGTGTGGGGCATTATTGTTATGTAAGCAGGATTATTGCACTCCGTCTGTCCAGCCAGTCGTGTAGTCATCCGACGTCCCACTCTGGTTCAGTGCCCCGAAATTCGAACCTATTTCGCGGGATACCCCCGCGAAATTGAACTAAAATGTTTGTCTTACCAGTGGCCGTCGCGTCGAAGGTGAGGTTTTCTTT